CGAGGGGCGAACGGGGCAACTACCACTCCAGGCTGCGCCACAATGATGGCCACCCAATCAAGGGGGCGTCGGTGGCGTACGTTACAGGCCATCATCACTCAGGATGGAGTGCGTACGCTCCCCGCGCTGTGCGCTCCCCCGTGGCGCGTGACTCCCCAGCTTCCCGGCGGGAAGACGCCTATTGTCCTCTATCATCTGCAGTCAACATCAGACAACCTCCATGACGCTCAAGGTGCGATATAATAATTATCATATTGAAAAAGGTGAAGTGAAGGTGAGGTGCATCATCAGGGAGCTCTCTTCCCCAAGATGGTGCTTCGTATGCCGGATATTTTTGTAGTTTTATTGATCGAGGTTTTGTTTAATTTCAATAAAGGCTTTGCTTAGTCAATGTATCGGAAACAAAGTAACGTTTTACAATTAATTGTTAATTAATTACCTTAGTATAATTAGTTGCTTGACATTGCTAACGGTGCTTTAATTCATTAAATTAATTTATCTGTCGCTGTGTACTTAGTGTAACTGCAGTGGATGTCAATTTTAGCTGCTGCTGGTGTTCTTTGGCCGTGTAGCAACGATTTCATCGGTCTCAAACACCGTAGTCTAGGTTCACTATGTCAAACAAATATCATTTCGTTTGGAGATTAGCAAAATCTGCAAAATTTTTCGCCATCACCCCAGAGCATGGAATCTGAAAATCAATGTTTGGCGTTTGCACGCACACCTGCATGCACCGATTTTGGATTTACCTTGGTTAATCGTCATCATCATCATCAGCAGTAACACGTGATGCGTCACCTATCCGAATGTCACCGGCGGCGATCGAACGACGTGCCGTTGCGCCGTCAGGTGCGGCGGCACCAATGCGGAGCGCCTCCGCAGTCAGCGTTCATCCCGCGCTCGGACAGCCTCGGTCGACACCGCGTACGCAGCGCACGGACGACGATTGCTGCCCGACGCGCCGCTCACACCGCCATCATCCGATCCGCCGTTCCATGTCCGGCAACATCGCCGAGCTCGTCAAGCAGTTCTCGAAGTCGGACACGGAGCAGGCGCGCGAGGAGAGCGACTCGAGCCAGCGCGCGCAGCAGAGCCCATGCTGGGCCCCCCCCGCCCCCCCGCCCCTCAGAACGCCACGGCCGCGCGGGGTCACGCCAGCGCGATGAGGCTGCGGCGGCCGGTCGCTTCGACGGGTACGTCGACCCAGGCGCCGCCTACTACACCGGACTCCGACCCAGCTACTATGTAGTACGACGGCCCGGCGGTGGCGCCCCCTGCGTGGGAGCACGGGCCGAAGTGGCGCCGCTGCGCGGTGAGGCACGGCGTCGGGGCCTGGTGGCGCGCCCCTGCGTGGGAGCACGGGCCGGCCCAGTGCGCCCGCCTGCGGGCGGACCGACGGGCCGGTGTTCGGTCGCCGCGCGTCCGCGTCGGACGTGCGTAGCAGCCTATCAGTCGTCGGCGGCGAATCGCAGCGCGAGCACGCGCCGTGTTGGCCGGTCGTGCAGGGCGACGACGCATCGCCAGCAGGTGGTCGCTGACGGCGACGCGCCGGTCGTTCACGGCGCGGGCGCCGGCTGGCGTACCCGCAGCGTGGACGCACGCGGTGGCGTCTCCCGTCGCTCCGCCACGGCTTGCAGCTGCCTGCCGTCGCGCGACCGCTGCTACACGATCCGCCGCCCGTGACGAGTCCGCGGGGATCCCCGATGTCAGATCAGGAGCTGGACGATCTACTGAGCAACCTGAGTGTGCAGACGGCGCGCGCTGAGGCAGCGGCTGTTGTCGTGCGGCACAAGGGAGCCGCACGCAGCCGCCCCGCCCTCACCCGTGCTGCCCGTACGTGACCACGACGGTAGGGTGTGCTGTCGTTGATATACGCAGTTATCTGTGTGGCGTGTGCGTCGTGCGTGGCACGTGCGCGGCGGCCGCGTGTGCGGGTGCGTGTGCGTGTGGCGTCGTGCGTGTGCGTGTGCGTGTCGCGTGTGCGTGTTGCGTGTGTGTGTGCGTGTGCGCCGTGCACGTGCGTGTATGTACGCGTGCGCGTGGGCGTTCGTGCATGCATGGTGTGTGTGGTGTGTGGTGTGTGTGTGTGTGTGGGTGTGTGTGTGTGTGCGTGCGTGCGTGGCGTGTGCGTGGCGTGTGCGTGGCGCTGCGGCGTCGCGCGCGCGCGATGCGCTGAGCGCGGAGCAGCAGCGCGAGTGCGTTCGTGTGTGTGTGTGGTGGTGTGGTGGGTGTGTGCTGTGTGTGTGTGTGTGTGTGTGCGTGTGCGTGTGCGTGTGCGTGGTGCGTGTTGCGTGTGGCGTGTGCGCCGTGTGCGGTGTGCGGTGTGGCGTGTGTGGCGTGTGCGTGGCGCGCGTGTGTTCGTGTGCGAGTGTAGCGTGTGGGGCGTGTGTGACGTCGAGCTGAGGTGGCAATTCGGGCATGCATGCGGTGTGTGTGTGTGTGGTGTGTGTGTGTGGTGTGGTGTGTGTGTGTGTGTGTGTGTTGTGGTGTGTGTGTGTGCGTGTGGCGTGTTGCGTGTGCGTGTGCGTGTGCGTGTGCGTGTGCCGTGTGCGTGTGGGCGTGTGCGTGTGCGTGTGCGTGGCAGTGTTGCGAGTGCCGTGTGCGTGTGCGCGCGTGTGTGTGTGTTGTGTTCCATGGCGTGTTTTGTTCATTTCCTTGGTGAACCCATTACGCCCTAAATCCTGAATGTATATCCTGATTGAATGTCTGGATTCTTCTATAATACGTGGTGGAGCGTTTAACTCTGGCTCTTAACTTGGAGCTGTTTAACTCGGGCTCTTAATCTCTCTCTCTCTCTCTCTCTCTCTCTCTCTCTAGCCCTCTCTCTCTGAATCTTACCCTTTCATGCTCGCTCTCTCTCTCCTTCATGTGCTCTCTCCCTCACGCTCTGACATTAACACACGCACTGTCTCACGTTCACGACAATTACACATAGCATAACTCTATTGACGAACACACAAGAGGTAATTAAGTATGAACACTAACACATAATAACTGGCATTTTTAATAACTTATTAAATTATCTAATATAATAACAGCATATAAATAACAAGCAGTACCCTGTATATTTTTATAATGTCAATATACTGAAAATATATAGAAATATATTTAAACAAAAATACTGTTTATTATAGATCTATCTTGGTTCATTGTTACTCAACCGTGTTGATCAAACCGTACTGCTGAGTAGTCCTATCCTGAGTAGTCGCATCCTATCAGGAGGCTTTCTCAAAGCTGACTGAAGTTATCAAATTGACCACCAGATGGTGTGGTGATCAAGCCTCCAGATAGGAGCAGAAACGTCAGCAGTGATATTTTGAATGAACACGGTTGAGTAAAAATGAACCAAGATAGATCTATTATCTACCAACCGAATAAACTTATTTAATGACTGTTTACTATGTTTTCCCCATCACTTACCTGTGACGTATCGTGCTTGCGTGACAGCCAGCGCGGCGGCTCCTTCGTCTTCTGCAGCTGAAAAGGCGGAGGAGGAGGAGGAGGAGCTTGAGGCAGGGAGGAGCCTGCCTCCTCCATTAGCTGCACCTCATCCAACGTCAGGTTGTGATAGAGGTCCTCCAGCTGTGAGATGGCGCTGTCCAGTTTAGACTTGTGCATGTCGAAAGTGTCGGGAACACTCTCCTCCTCCGGCTTGTTGGAAGTCGTGACTGCAGTATTATTTTTGATGTCGTTTTTTCTTCCCTCTCATCCCCTTCCCTCTTCTCTCGCCTCTTCTTTCTATTAGGCTGTCCGAACGCGGGATAAACGCTGACTGCGGACGCGCTCCTGATTGGTTGCCGCGCACGTGACGGCGCAATGGCACGTCGTCGATCGCCGCGGTGACATCGGATGGTGACGGCATCACGTGTTTACCTGCTGATGATGACGATTAACAAGGTAAATCCAAAATGGTCGCCATGCAGGTGTTCGTGCAAATGCCAACATTGATTTTCAGATTCTCCATGCTCTGGTGATTCTAAAAATTTGCAGGTTTGCTAATCTCCAAAATGAAATTACATTTGTTTTACATAGTGAACCTGACTAAGGTGTTTGATACCGATGAATCGTTGCTACATGGCAAGAACACAGCGAGCAGTAAAATTGACATCACTGCAGTTTCACTAATTACACAGGACAGATAAATTAAGCACCTTGATTATTGACATTGTTAAATGACTAAAAACTAATTATACATAAGGTAATTAATTAACAATTAATTTTAAAACAATACTTTGTTGCATACATTGACTAAGACCAGACTTTATTAAAATTAAACAAAACTCATCAATAAGAACTAACAAAAAATAACCGCATAACCGAACACCATCTTGGGGAAGAGAGCTCACCCATGATGATGACCTCACCCTTCACTTCACCTTTTTAATATGATAATTAATTATATCGCACCTTGAGGGGTCATGGAGTTGTCTGATGTTGACTGCGATGATAGAGACATAGGTGTCTTCCCCGGGAAGCTGGGTGAGTCACGAGCCACGGGGGAGCGCACAGGCGGGGAGCGGTACGCTCCATCCTGAGTGATGATGGCCTGTAACGTACGCAACGACGCCGTGAACGATGGCGGCGGGTCGCTAGGCAACGCATCAACAAACAAACGCGTAGACAAAACGAAAACACAACGACTGGCACATTGAAAGCGCAAAAGCAAGAAAAGACAAAAAAGCAGCAAAAAAAAGCAGTGGTGCACACGGAAGTGATTGCAGTGCAGGATCTTGTGAACAAACATGCATGGGGAGCAGGGATTCAGGATTCGTCACTCAGATGTTAGGGATCTCACTTGGATGTAAGGGGAAGGGAAGAACCAACCTTTTGCTTGATGCCTGCGTTCACGCGTGTGACAGACGCATGTTTGCTATTGGGTTTAACATTTGGAGATGGTCTGGGTTGCAGCAGTAGCGCCTGTATATAAGCACACATCACGTAAGACACGCACGCGCACGCACACACGCACGCACACGCACACACGAATGGCAGCAAATGCAATTAATATGCTCTGTACACGACAGATGGCAGCACAGTCTACACAGACACTGCATCTTGCATGGCAGACATTCATTTCCATCAAAGATTTCTAGAGTAATCTTTTCTGCAAAACGCATGTATGCATTAGCTGTGGGAACTAGTTAGCCAGCAAGCAAATTCGTCGGTTCGTGTTTATTTACCTGATCATCAAACCAATCGCTCGCCCTCGCTCAATTCACCACTGCCACAAGGAGATTTCCGTGAGAATTTCTAACGCTTTTTTACCACAAGTTTTACAGCGGCTAGGTTACTCGTATCCTATGTAATAAGATTTGGACTAATAAAAGTTGCAAAGATATTAAAAATCCGACCGTTATTTCATGAAAAATTTGATAAAATAGTTACACGAAATAGTACGCGGATTGTGCGCCCAGTTACCTCTTTCAAATCATGCGCTGTTTACGAATCTCCATTCACTGGATTTCCCCGGAGCTCCGCCCACTTTAAAAATTGTGCTAGCATTGTGGCAGTGGTATCCTGAGTGTACGAAGGGACACTGCATGCAATTGCATTCATTTCCATCAAAGATTTCTAGAGTGATCTTTTCTGCAAAACGCGTGTATGCATTAGCTGTGGGGACTTAACAGCCAGCAAGCAAATTCGTCGGTTCGTGTTTATTTACCTGATCATCCGACCACTCTCTATACTGGTTCTGTGCAGTGTGAGGCGTGCTGTCCAGTGGCTCCCCCTATAACATCGCAAAACAGATATAGTGATAACTAGCTGCGGGTACCCGCTGCGCTGGGTAAAATCGTGCTACTAATTCATACTACTAAGTAATAATGGGACACAATAGGAACATTGGGTAAAAATCGACAATAACATTGCACACAATATGAATATTTAGAAATCAGTCTAATAAGATAATAAGCATGGGAAAAACTGTTACATATGACATTTATATGACAGCACAACCCAACTTAGAACCCCTGGAACATAATAGTAATATGGTGTAAATGACAAATAGTTATTATAACAGCATGTACGAATAGGTTACACTTTTCATTTGAAAACCTCTTGATAAACAATGTTTTTCGTGTTATTCTCTGGTGGAAATATGTAAAGATTCCTGGCGTCTCGAACTGTTGAGCTCCCCACGTACGGCATGTACGTATGGCACGTACGGCACGTAACAGCATGTGGGAATGGGTTGCACTTGTCATTTCAAAGCCTCTTGATAAACAATGCAGTCGTAACCTCTGAACTGGTCCTGGCTGTGCTCTGTTTTAGTATTGGTTTCGG